GGGTCTGCCAGTAGGGGAGACAGTAAAGCAGACGTGAATGCTCTAACCCACTAGTCACTTGCACCCATGCTCCTAGCGAGAGGCATTTCAGCAGTTCGGTTAGGGAGCGGCTGTGCTGCTTCACATCTGGGCTGAGGTAGTGCGACAGTGACAGGCTGCCAGGAAGAGACTGAGTCTGAGCAATGCGACGCCCGAACGGCCCTTGCCACGCGGCGGCTCCTCCGTCCCCACGCGGCGCTTGGAGGCTGCGTTAGCCTGGCCTGGCCGTCGCTCTGCTCCTTCCCAGCCTGGGCATCTGCGGTGTTTTCCCGAAGGCTCCCTGTCCCCAGCGTCGTCTTCTGCTCGAATTCTCTGTGCCCCCCGTGCCAACTCTATCCATGCCCCTCACGCCCGCTCTCTCCCCTCTCTCGGTGCGTCCCCTCCCTCCCCTGTTCCTCCCCTGCTTTGCAAAACCCGTCTTCAGTGGTGAGAGACTCTCGTGCTTTGAAACTTCAAAGCTCTCAGCTTTATTCTTCCACCCAAGCACCTGCTAACAAACTTTGTGTCCTGGAACTGGGATTAAGGGACGTTTCCATTTTTGTTTCTTTCAGACTTTGAAACTGGGTCCAAAACCAAACCATCAGCTCCAAAGCAAGACGTCCCTAAGGAACTGCCCTGCAGTGTCCTGGTAGGAAGGTTCCTGTGGGACACTCTGTGGGGCTCTAAGGGGGAAGGTGCTGAGGGCCGTGTAGGGCTGGCGGCCTTCACCCCTGTGAAGACATCCGTTCAGGAGCAGCAGCTGAGGAATGGGCTTGGGGAAAACTCAAGTCTGAGCCCCGATCTCCCAACTCGACCCATGACCCCTGAAAGACGAGGCTCCCACACGTGGCGAACACGTGGGAAGAGGGAGAATCCGGACTCAAAAGCGCGACCGAAGACTCGCGCCAAAGAGAAACCCTACGGATGTCAGGAGTGTGGCAAGGCCTTCAGTCACAGCTCTGCCCTCATCGAACACCTTCGAACGCACACAGGAGAGAGACCTTACGAATGTCACGACTGCGGAAAAGGCTTCCGCAACAGCTCGGCCCTCACCAAACACCAGAGAATCCACACTGGTGAGAAACCGTACAGGTGCGCGCAGTGTGGGAGGACCTTCAACCAAATTGCCCCACTGATCCAGCATCAGAGAACTCACACGGGCGAGAAGCCCTACGAGTGTAGTGACTGTGGGAAGTCCTTTAGTTTTAGGTCCTCCTTCAGCCAACACGAGCGGACTCACACGGGTGAGAAGCCATATGAGTGCAGTGAATGTGGGAAGGCCTTCCGGCAGAGCATCCACCTCACTCAGCACCTGCGCATCCACACCGGGGAGAAGCCCTATCAGTGTGGGGAGTGCGGGAAGGCGTTCAGCCACAGCTCATCCTTGACGAAGCACCAGCGAATCCACACAGGGGAAAAGCCCTATGAGTGTCACGAGTGTGGTAAAGCCTTCACTCAGATCACACCACTGATTCAGCATCAGAGGACGCACACGGGAGAGAAGCCCTACGAGTGTAATGAGTGTGGAAAAGCCTTCAGCCAGAGCACACTGCTAACCGAGCATCGGAGGATTCACACAGGGGAGAAGCCCTATGGGTGCAACGAGTGTGGGAAAACTTTCAGCCACAGCTCATCACTCAGCCAGCACGAGCGGACGCACACGGGAGAGAAGCCTTACGAGTGCAGTCAGTGCGGGAAGGCCTTCCGGCAGAGCACACACCTCACCCAGCATCAGAGGATCCACACGGGGGAGAAACCCTATGAGTGCAATGACTGTGGCAGGGCCTTCAGCCACAGCTCATCCCTAACCAAACACCAGCGAATCCACACCGGGGAGAAGCCCTACGAGTGTCATGAGTGTGGCAGGGCCTTCAGCCAGCTCGCTCCTCTCATTCAGCATCAGAGGATCCACACGGGGGAGAAGCCCTATGAGTGTCACGAGTGTGGCCGAGCCTTCAGCCAGAGCTCCCTTCTCATAGAACACCAGAGGATCCACACCAAGGAAAAGCCCTACGGCTGCAACGAGTGTGGGAAATGCTTCAGTCACAGCTCATCGCTCAGCCAGCACGAGAGGACACACACCGGAGAAAAGCCCTATGAGTGTCCGGAGTGTGGGAAATGCTTCAGGCAGAGCACTCACCTTACTCAGCACCGAAGGATCCACACGGGAGAGAGGCCATATGAATGCAGGGCCTGTGGGAAGGCCTTCACACACAGCTCCTCCTTGACCAAGCACCAGAGAACTCATACTGCGTGACGCCCTCCACACAAGCTCGGACATGGGAAGCCTTAAGCCATAGTTCATCTGTTATGAGACTTGACCCACTAATACTCATGAGCAAGAACACACACGTATTTGTACACAACCATCACGCACAGTACACTCTTCAGATCATCCAAACAGTAGGGATACGTGGAAGTGATCCATGTTGAGGGCCTGCAGCCTTGAGTGCTCACTAACATTACAGAACCCAAAAAGGAAGCAGGAAAACGAGTGCATTTGGACTTAGTTTCTGTCCAAAGATCCACCAGATTCCCAAACAGGTTTTCAAAGTAGGAAGAAAAACAAAAAATGCCTTTCATTTATGTGACCCAAGTGCAATCCCAGTTTATCATTATTACACATCTTGGGGGTTGTTGGGGTTATGAATGGTATTCATTGACTCTTGATATTCCCTAAACAGAATATTGCACAGTGGTCCAGACATGAGTGACATCTTTATGGAATCACTATGCTTACTCAGATGTCTCATTACAAAATTTTCTGATATGTATGTAAATCTTTTGTTCAAGGTTTATATGGCAACTGGTCTCAAGATATGAATCACCTATGACGAAGTATCAGTGCGTTATTAACATTTTAAATTTGTATATTATTTTGTAGTAAATTAATCTTCATATGCCATAGATTTGAAAAGTTTTATATAGGAAGACTGGAAATGTAACTTTCATGTAGCCCTATAGGTTGAGATGGGTTTTGCTCTTCTGTTCTTGTTCTAAATTTTTTTTACAGGACTTGGGCACGAGAAACACATATTGCCATTTCACAAAAAATAGATTTTTTTCCTGTAAGCCACCACCTCACGAACAGTAGCAATTTCATGTTGGAACCTTACATTTTGGAATATTTATCCCTTGAAAGATGTACACATTAATCCCCTGAACCATTTTTTTTTTCATTAATTCTTCATACTGGTATTAATTAAGCATTTGATTTTATATAATTTAACCTGAAGATTTCCCTGAACCCTAAATCCAGTAAGAGCAGTCTCTCTGGCATCCAGAACCCTAAAATGGTGACTCGCCACCCTTGACTACTGCCACACAGTAACAGTAACTCATACGCTCTGGGAGAGGATGTTTTTTCATACAAATACAATTGGGTCAGTCTTGCCTCATAACCCTCCGGTGGTTCCTACCGTCTTTCAAGACCTACAGTATGAAGGTCCTGCTCTGTGCTCACAACGTGCCGCCCTTCTCAGGGCCTAGAGAACGGACTTTCTGATTCCTTCAGGGACCACTCCTGCCACCTGCCAGCCGGTTCATGTGCATATATCCTCCCATCTCTGACCCATGTACCTTTCCTCAGGAAACCCTTTCCAGAGACTTTGCAGTATACATGGCCAGCATTAAATTTCCGCTTCCTGGTTTCAGGGCTAGCACTCTCAGAAGACTGAACATAGGGGGCACTCTCTCTAAACTCCCTGTGGAATTGGGGTCCTTCCCTTACGACCTCATTTAAGGTATTTGCCGCCATAAAGGCCCTTTCTCCACACATAGTCCCATTGGGACTAGGGTTTCAACCTATGGATTTGTGGGCGGGGGAACCCAACACAGTCTATAACTGAGGCTATTTGAGCGTTTCTTCCCATGCAACTCTACTCCCATCTAGCCAGGTTTCCACGTGTGATTTCCCTTTATCTGTCCCCGAGAACCCCACCCGTTCTGTCAGCCCACCTGGGTCTCCTTGCCCTCCAGATTTTATACCTCAGGTCCTTGCACAGTACCCCATGGTCTGTGGACAGAGCCCCATGGACTCCCCTGGGGATACTAGGGCCACCTCCTGCTTCCCTGTTGCTGCATTTCTCTTAGTGGTCTATGTCTCTGCATGTCTGAATGGGAGTTGAGACCCTTAACACAGACCCCCTGCCACTAATGCTTGTGCCTGCTCAGCTTCCCTGAGACTCACAAGTGCGAATGTCTGGCTATACTTTTTCTCTGTTCAACAAGTCCACTTGTGAGCTTTTCTATGTTTGGGGCACGCTAGTGGTTAGGGGAACAGCAACGAAATCCTGAAATCTGTTCAGTAGTTTTTTTGGTGGGTGGGGTGGAGGTAGTGTTTAGAGAAAAGCAATCCTGAAACTATTTTAGTGGTATTTCGGAATTTGGCAAATGAAAATGTTGATTGAGTGGTGCTAGGGTTCATACTATTGAGCCAGACTACATTTCCAAGAAAGTTTGTGAGTGGGACCAGCTTGTGCTGGAGACATGAAATTTCTGCTGTTGTCCAGGCTCCCCAGCCAGACCTCGGTTGCAATGAGCCAGTTTAAACTCACTACAATTCCCAGAGCCTGCCATTCACTGGTCACCCCACTTGTGGAAGGGTGCAGTCGGCAGTTACCTAGAGTCTAGGAACCCTGAGGATGAGTATTGGGCGAGTTATAGGGTATCATAGTTATGCAAACCTTCTTCTCCAGAGAGTGCACTGTGACACCTAGAACCTCATACTATTCCCAGAGCCTCCGCGGTTTGGATGCCCCTCCCTACAGAGAGACTCAGTAATGGGCTACAGTAAAATCGGCCTTACCTGGGAGCTAGGACTTTCTCGGAGTGGTATCCAAGCGACGCAGCCTGGCGTAGGCCATACTGAGACCCCTTTAAGTTACCATAATTAACAGTGGCTCCTATTGGGCAGGCCTCCGGACCTCTGGAATGTCGCAGTCAGCGCCTCGGCAGAGTCTGGGAAACCTGGGGATGATAATTTAGGGATTAAAAGGGAACCTTAGTTACACTATCCTTGTACACAAGTGGCGGACTGGGACACCTCGGACCTCGTGCTCATCCCAGAAAGCTTGCATTAGGATTGCCCCTTCTCAAGACGAAACATAGTTCGTGACTCCAGAAAACAGTGTCCAGTGGGAGCAAGGACTTCTGAGAGTGGTAGTCCAGGCTCCACGGCCTGGTGTAGTCCGCACTAAGAGCTTTAAAGCACTATAATTATCAGAGGCCACTGTTAGAAGTTGGTCAACCCCACGGCCACAAAGGCACCGTCGACGTTTACGCAGACTCTTGGAACACTGGTTTTGAGAACTCTGGGAATTACAGGGAATCATAGTTACACTAACCTGTCCACCAGGTGGCAGACCGAACACAGAAACTCGTACTACTACTCCCAGAAGACTACGCGGTATAGGTGCCCCTCACTTGGGAGAGACGATGTGGGCGTCACCTTGGAGCAAGTACTCTGGGAGGAGTAGTCCAGGTTCCCCTAGGCCGCACTGAGGCAGCTTTTACTCACTGTCATTCTTAGAGCCTCCGTATGGTCTGGCGACCCAATCTCCGAAAGGGAGCGGTCAGTGGCTCTACAGAGTTCAGGAAGCATGGGTTTGAGAATTCTGGGGGTTCTAGAGAATCGTGTTTTCAAAGGTCTTGTGCACCAGGTGGCACTCTCGAACACAGAGGCTCGAACTACTTCTCTCAGAAGGTGCTGTGGTCTGGATGGTCCACACGAAGGAGCATGACAGGCTCCAGAGGCGATGTTTCCTCCTATTCTTTCTGGGAGGTTTTTCGTTTGTTTGTTTTTGTTTTCCAATGATCCCTGGCCAGGGTTACAGTCTCAAAGAGCTACGCACTACATCTCCCAGAAAGCCATGCGGCAGTCCGGTGGTCCTTTACGGAGTGTAACCTCTTCAACTCCCTATTTCAAAGATTCCACTTTTACAAATACATCAGGTGAAATAATGTCACAATATGATTTTTATATTCGAGAAAGATATATACTTAAATGTTATGTCTATAGCTGGGGATTTCTGTTATTGAATGGGTAAAGAAATGTGACCTGAACCAAACCCGTCCATTTCTGGATCCTGGAATGGAATCCAAGAGGCAATTGAACTTTGCCTTATTTACTTTTCAGTCTCTCTCTCTCTCTCTTTTTTTTTTTTTTTTTTACGCTCTCTTCCTGTGTTTTATGTCTGTTCCTCGGCTACACGCGGGCGACTTCAGTAGACACCTTCATATAGCAGACATGGAGAGAATATGAGGGGAACAAAATTAACTCCTCTGGTGTCGGAACTCGAAATCCGATAACGAATAAACTGATGAGCGGGGACACATGAGTACGATACGTGCGCGCGAAACCCTGGGGGTTGAAGTTCGGCGCCCACACGCACAGGCACAGCCCGGGCCACGGAGCGGAGCTGGTATTTGCACTCAGGTTCCACGAAGGAGTGCAACGAGGGCGATTTCGGGTGGTAAGTTCGGGGTGTGCTTAGCGAAGTCCGTAAGGGAGGACTGGGATCCCGGCCCAGCAGGCACAGTCGCTGGCGGATGAGGAAGGAACACGGAAACGATCGGAGGAGCGCGCGCCGCATTCTGGGAGATGTAGTTTGGGGAGCCTGGGCTCCCGGTGTCGGGGAACATTTTGTGGCAGTGTAACGGTAAGTGGGGAAGGGTAGAAGCGAGGAGACTGAATCTGACAGGCAACCACGAGGTCTCGCTCTGATCCCCAGCCTTCCTGCTGCAGTTGGAAAGTCCAAGCGGCAGGGGGCCACCCCCCAGGTAAGCGGAAGTGACCGCGTGGGCTTCTGAGAGATGTACTTCGGGGCTTGACTGCGCAGGCGCAGATCTGGCCCGTGGCGCTCCGTGCTTTGTTCCGTCATCCCGCGCGTAAGTGAGATCGGTAGTGGCAGCGGTGCGGGACACTCACCTGGGCTGGGATCTGGGGTCTTCCGTGACTCTGGCCGTTATGTGAACCTAGCCTCGCCCGTTTCTGTGCATGGAATCCTTTTTGCTCCCTTGGGCCGGGGAGAGTCGCTTTGGAGACAGCGGGGACTGCCCGAGCGGGCGTCGCGGGGTTTAGGGGATCTCAGGATCCCAGAGGTATTGGGTCACCGGTGCGGCACTGGCTTTCGCAGAAGGGGTAGGAGCCTCCCAGTTCGGGGGCACAGCAGGAAGGACAGCCGGCCCAGCACTTCAGAGACTGGAGCCAGCCTGACCCGCATCCCTCCCGTTTTAGTGAGACGTCCGGAATTCCGAGAGTGGGGACAACCGAGGTCCCACGACGGAGTCATTTGGAGCCTCACCTTCTAGGGGGGCCTTTGGTCCCCAAAGGGTGAAATGAGGGAGACCAAAAGCATAATATATTAACAGGAAAAAAAAAATACCTTGTTATATTAAACTATTTAGCACTGACTGCATGCGAGGCTCTTTCACTAATTCATCAAACAGGGATTTAGATATTCTGGGTGCCAGGCCCACTCCTAGGTCCAGGAGCCTCTGCATAGACCCCCAACATGGTCTGCATCCCCTGAAACCTACAGGGGAGATGATTTTTAAAAACCTATGAACACATCACTGAAGGCGGTCACTCCCATCCTGGACACTGCAGTGAAGACGAGGCACAACAGGGCGGGGCAGAACTGAGCGCACAGTCACTCAGAGTCACGAAGGGAAGGTACAGAGACGAGGGAAAGGTATCCTAGCTTGGGCCTGAGTTTCTTTGGGGGAAAATACCCCATGAGGAGCTTACAAGGCACCAGGAACAGGTAGCGGTATCTGTGTCTTAGACTGTGACGCTCACTGAAACTCGAGGCTTCCCTGCCGGCAGCAGTCACCGTCAAGTGTATACCGCTGCTGCGCTCCGCTGTCAGCCCTTTTCACACTTAAATTTTGGTCATACCCATGTTGGGTCACACCCTCCTTTTATGGGGAGCGGGGGACTGAGGCACACCACGCAGTTCCCAGGGACCCCAGACCTGTCTGGCTTTCTGTGATAGTCACGAATCGTCATCACCCTGGAATTCAGCTGCACTCAGCGGTGTGCCTCTTCCCACCCTAGTCCTGTTTTCCTGTCTTTGGAATGAGTGGGGACAGTTTGAGGTCATTCATCGGTAGCGCCTGGAATATCCCTGGGCACACAGCAGGCGCTCAGAAAACGCAAGCTGAGGTCTGCCGCTGTCAGGTCTGGCCTGGGTGCTGGGGTCCGCTTCTGGCATCCGGGCTCTTCTACCCGCAATCAGGGGACCTGCCGCGTGGGGTCTGTATTCGGCACAGGGCCCGCTCAGTCTCTCGCATCCCCTTTCGCCCAGCACTGCTGCAGAAGAGCCAGCTGTTCTGCAAGAGGCCGGAGGAGGGGATGACGGCTGGGCTCCTTGATGCCGGCGTGCTGGTAAGTACACTGACACCCGCACGTCGGGCCTCCCCGGTCCCAGCCTGGGGTCCTCCCCAAGATCATTCTGGCCTCAGAGCCTTTGCGCTCACTGTGCCCCCTGCCAGGAGCGTCCTTCAGCCCACTCACGTCCTCCAGATCCCCGAGGACCTTGCGGCTTGCCCCACCTGCCCCTGCTCATCCCTCCATGTGAGGAGTCAGGCATTTCTTCAGCACACGGTTTGGTTCCATCTCCTGGCTCACTGTCTTCCTCACTTGGTAGATGTGATGAAGACACATCTGCTCCAGGCACTGTTGCAGGCCTCACAGGTGCAGGAGCAGGTAAGACAAGCAGAAATCTCTTAGAGGATGGGCTTGGGGACTAGGTCCTGACTAGAACAGCACCGGAGGCCTGCCTGAGGTGGTGGCCCATAAGCAAACACCTTCAAGAGGGGAGAGAAGGAGATCAAGGCCCTCAGAAAAAATGTTCCAGGCAGAGGGACCAGCATGAGTACAAGATCTGATTGGCATGGTCTAGAAGCAGATTTTTACGCAGAGCTTCTGGATAAAACACAGTCTGACACCTTGATTTTAGCCCCATGGGACCTGAGCAGAGAACCCAGCCATGCTGTGCTGGATTCTGACCTACAAAACTAAGATAATAAATGGGTGATGTTTCAAGACAGTAACTCAGGGTTAATTTGTTTTGCATCGAAGGATGACTGATACCGGGGAGGGGAGCATCTGCTTTCAGTGTCATGATTAGAAAGATCATCTCCATCCCAAGATTCTTTTTTAAAAATCATTTTCAAGGGCTTTGTCTCCTTCCTTTTCTGCCTATACTTGTAAGGATGTTATTTTGGCCACAAAGATGAGACAGGAATCCATGTGCAGACACACTGCCACCCCGAGACACCTGCGCCACGGCAGGGTTCCTGGTGAACCCAGTACACCTTCTCTTGCCAACTACACTTTTGTTGACTCCTCGATAGCATTTCTTATTTCAAGAAATTTTTCATAGCAAAATTGCTGGAAGGTAGGGTTTTGTCCTTTTATATCCTAAGACACCTCTCTTCCTCCAGCAACACCTCCACCCAACAGAAAAACCGACCCCAAATCCCCAGACATGAGACGCCCCTCTCCAAGCTTGGCCTTGTCCTTGTACACCAGCTCCACCTACCAGCAGCCAGTGCCAGCCATGGCCTGGCTGAGGACACTCATGTGTGATGTTTCAGGAGCAAGTGACCTTTGAGGATGTGGTTGTGGACTTCACCCAGGAGGAGTGGGAGCAACTGACCCCTGCCCAGAGGATGCTGTACAGCGATGTGATGCTGGACACCTTTGAGCTCTTGGTCTCCATAGGTGAGGCCATGTCCAACCCCCCAAATGGATTCTAATTTTTTTGAGTTAAAAGTTGGAGTATGTCCAGCCGTTAAAGCAAATACCTGAGATATGACTTAAGCCTCAGGGACCAGACTGCGTTGGTTTAGCAAATGTCGCTTAGGATGTTTTCCATGCAAGTTAAAATTCCCACCAGAAAATGCCAGAAGCAGGACATCATGGGGTTAGAGGGACATACGAGGTCCCATAACTGCAGAGTCCTACGCTAGACCTGGGTCTTGCTGCGTAGCCGTCAGGAGCCCCCACCCTCCTCACCTCCCTCTGCACCTCTTTCTGCCACCAATCACAGATGGGACCCTATAAAGGTGACAAGCGAGCTGTCAGGGTCCAGGACCAACGGAAAGACAGGGTCTGTGTCCTGGGTGCCCATCAAAGTCCCCTGGGTTGTCTCCTTTCGGCCACCAAGCCCCATCCACACTGGTCGGTGTTGGCAGCAGACAGGGGAGAGCAGAGTGCCGACTGGCCGGCCAGGCCTGGGTCACGTGTAAACCCTGAGCGGGGCGGGATCAGGGACTGAGAGTGAGGCAGATACGTTGGGTCCCATACCACGATGACTTCGGCCTCTCGGGGTCCCCAGCGACTTGGGACCTGGAAGACTGAATGTGGAGTGGGCAGAGGGCGGGGAAGAGT